TGTATAACCCCCCTTTAAGGAGTTTAGACTATGGCTCACATGAGGCCTGTCGGGGAGTAAAAAGTAGGGTGATCCCCCAACTCGTGCCTACCAAGTCCTGCGAGCCTCGTTTAGGCTTGAGGGTTGCGTGCTTGTGACACCCAAAAACCCAAACCATAAAACCAAAACCGTCTGGCCAAGATCCAAGGTCCAGCCGCGTCCCAATTGCTTGAAGCTTTGGACTAAGCACCTGACCTGCTCTATGACTATATGTTCTATAGTCTACCCTCCTTAAAGGGGGCTCATGAAGGGGAGTATAATAGGGGTTATTAAGGGGAGAGTGGATACTAGGAGTTTAGACTAAAGCTCATGTCATATTCTGATAACTTGGCTTCTGAGCTCCGTCATGCCAATCCAGTCTGAGGAATATTGGACTTAGATGGGCCTACAGAGGAACCCATGGGGCTGCAGGGAATAAAGTGCCACGCGCACCTATGCAAGCAAAGCTCTTTCATCTGCTTTTATTGATACCCTACACCAGACAGAACCCAAGACAGTCCTAAGACAACTTTTTGTCTCCACAACTGGCACCCCCAACCTAGAATGGAACCCAAGAAGCACAAAAGCAAAACCAGGCAGCAAGCCCTCTGCTGGGCCTTGTGTTTTTGCACTAGTAAGAGACAGCTTGGAAGACCTGAATACGGAAAAACTGGGGTCCTGAGGGTTTCATGTTCAGGCGTGTGTTCTAGAACGTAGCCTGGCATTTTGGTGTTCTGATGTGGCCAACACTGCGGCTCAACAACGATTGAAACTCAAACCTGCAGGAGGAGCATTTTATGGTTGAAAACTGCCAAGAGGGATAACCGGATTGCCTACCCACCATTGATGCTCTGGTGATGATACGCTGGTACTGTGGACCTAGTTATTCCGGTCAGCATGGATGCTTTGGTGATCGGACGCACTGGTAACACGGAATGTCATCCTGGCCACACTGGCCATGCTTTCCACACGTGGTGTCGCATAGCCCCCCAAACCCGGTGAGCAGCACCTGCACGACATAAAAGTCCTCAGAACCCCCATGCTATGCACAAACAAGGAAACACGAGTGAGCGCCACCAACCATTACTGCCCATGTGAATAAGGCTGAAAATAGTCTGCGGTTATGTCAGTGCATGGTCGGCCTCCATGAAGAAGGCAATCTCCTCCAAGAAAAGTCCAACCTAGCGGAGGGGATCATAAAATGTCAGCCCTCACATCGGGATGAAAAGCTCAGGGTTTAGGGCTTCGGATCTTCCTACCGCAGGGCTTAGGGCTGAGGATTTAGAGGCCTTGAGCCCATAACAAATCACCTACCCCCAACCACAATCCCAAACTTTATCACCTAAGGAGCCGATTATCCCTGAAATAAGGAATCGCTTCTCCAGGTGCCTCTTCTTCTGGATTGCAACCGCGACTGGGAGACCAGTCGCAGACTAGAGCACCCAAAGGGTCCATGTGCCCAATAGTTGGGTACTTGAGACTTTAGCATCAGAGGTTGTAGTTGTAGCAAAGGTTTTGGGCAAGTATATGATAATTCATTGATACTGACATCGTCCGGGTATAATCTTTCATTACTGGGTATGATTTTGAAGCTCTTCAGGCCCTACATCCCTCACGCCTTTACCCTGAAGACGCACTTCCCGTTCAATTTTCAATTTGGTCCTAAACCCCAAACGCCATTGGTTCTCCATTAGAGAGCTGCATTACTTTGGAGGTGCCGACCGGACCCATTGTAGCCCTCCATGCGAGAAGAACTTTAGGGAGTAGGGTTCAGGCGGTTTATGGCTTAGGGTTTCGGGTTTAGGGTTTTAGGGTTTAGGGTATGTCGACAAACCTGCTGCCTTGTTGAAGAACTGTTGGACATGAACCCTAAAACCTCAAACCTAAACTCTGAACCCTAAGGCACAACAACATGCTCCAAGACAAGACAGGCGTGACTCCTTTAAGTTACCCTTTTTTTCTAAAGACATCTTGCCCAGGTCAACCCGCGCCCAGGTTCGGCGACAATCTGCCCCAGTTATCCCCTCATCCCTCCTATTCTCTGGATGCCGCTGGGATCTCTAAGGTTATGTTTTGGGAAACTGCTGAAAAAATTGCCAAGAGCCAAGCCGTGACCTCTTTGAGGACAGGCCTCAGCCAAGCAAAAGCAAAGTCGCGGGCAGCGTCACGCAAAGCACAGAACTGCCAGGGGCTTCAAACAACATGAAACTTCAAGTCATAGCGGCCCTAGGCTCTAAATCCAACAATGACACAAACAAATACTTTCCTAACAAGAAAATGGCAATATTACATTCCCCGTCGAGGCCTTATTATCCTCCTGCACCGATGAGCCAGTAGTGCAACAGGTCTAACCATTCTCTGCTTGAGTTTCCGTGTGATTCTCCACGACTAGGGGGAATCCAAAAACCTCTGACAGAGGAATCCCAAGCAATTGAATGCCTACAGCTTTACACCTAGAAGTAACACAGGCAAGAACAAAACGGAGACCCTGTAGCTCCCGGTACCTCTGAGGCGCTCACTTCTCTGCAGCCTTCCCAAGGGCAGGGCTGAGGCTGGGTACTGCTACCTTTGATACTAAAATCCTGCATGTCCTTAATACACTATAGTACCATAATTCACAGGGTATACAATAGTTAGGGTCATGCAGAATTTCAATTCTCCACCGTGGGGCTGCCATCCCAGGTAAACTATCCAGCAAGTGGCAGACCCCTTATATAATTCATGTAGGGTTTATGGTTAAGGTCTTGGGGTTTGGGGTTGGGTTTAGGATTTATGGTGTTGGGGTTTAGGGTTTAGGCGTTGCGGTCTTGGGTTTAGTTTAAGTTTTGGGGGGGGCCCAATGCCCTTTTTTACCAACATGAGCTTAAACCCCTAGTATCCCCCCTATAATGCTCCCCAAAACGGTCCCCTATCGAACCTCCTTTAAGGAGTTTAGGCTCTTTAGACCCCAAACCCTAAACCCTATATAATCCCATATAGTGGAATGGAGTGGGATGGAGAATTGACCGAGGCAGTAGCCTGTCCCAACAAAGGACGTCACCTCCGGCCCAAAGGCTTAAGGTGCCAGTCCGAGCCATCAACACACACAACAGCAACCAACATTAGCAACAACGGACGAGACGAACGAACGAGCCCCATCCGCGAACCGCGGGGATGCCCCTGCAATAGAGAAGGTGCAACCATGAAGAGGTTGACCGCGAACCGAGGGGATGCGACCGCGGCAGAAAAACGAGTGCCCGTTGCAATGCCATTATTGACCGCAAAACCTTGGAAAGCCAATGCCGTGTCAGCAAACTTGGCCACGAAGATGTTAAATGCAAAACCGTGGGGATACCACTGCGGTGCCACCAACCTCGGCCACGAAGATGTTGACCGCAAAATCGTGGGGACACCAGTGCGGTGCCACCAAACTCGGCCACGAAGATGTTGACTGCAATGCCGTGGGGATACCACTGCCATGCCACCAAACTCGGCCACGAAGATGTTGACTGCAAAACCGTGGGGATACCACTGCCGTGCCACCAAACTCGGCCACGAAGAATTTAACTGCAAAAACGTGGGGATGCCACTGCGGTGCCACCAAACTCGGCCACGAAGATGTTGACCGCAAAACCGTGGGGATACCACCGCCGTGCCACCAAACTCGGCCACGAAGATGTTGACTGCAAAACCGTGGGGATACCACTGCCGTGCCACCAAACTCGGCCACGAAGAATTTGACTGCAAAACCGTGGGGATACCACTGCGGTGCCACCAACTCGGCCACGAAGATGTTGACTTTAATGCCGTGGGGATACCACTGCCATGCCACCAAACTCGGCCACGAAGAAGCTAACCGCAAAAACGCGGGGACACCAGTGCAGTGCCACCAAACTCGGCCACGACGATGTTGGACCGCAAAACCGTGGGAGTACCACTGCGGTGCCACCAAACTCGGCCACAAAGAAGTCGACTGCAAAACCGTGGGGATACCACTGCGGTGCCACCAAACTTGGCCACGAAGACGGTACCTGCAAAAGCGTGGGGATACCACTGCGGTGTCAACACCGCCGGCACTTTCACCCCATGGGCGCACCAAGAGCTGGCTGGATGAGGCGCTCCTCGGACATCCCTGTTACGAAGCAGAGATGTCCTTAGCGCTCCCTGGGGTCCTCTCCAGCGAACCAGCAGATGGCGCAAGCAAGCCCGCCCATGGGCCCGGGGGGCATCTTGCAAGATTTGTGTGATGGAGTGCCGGAGTGCGCTGGCCTGTTGTGATCAGTATTTGGCAAAGTGGATTCCCTGCTGCAGCACAGCGCAAACACCGGCCCGAACGCAGTCAAAACTGACCCACCATTCATTCTACCAATAATGCAGAACTATCCGCATCAATAGCGCTACAGTGCTACAGAAGGGATAGCTGGGGCCCCAGGCCCTCTGAAAGAAGCCGCCCTTACAAAACCAACGGCAGTTTGAGCAGTAGTGCTCCACTGAACACCACGGATGACATCACGGACCAGACAGTGGAGCACTCGGGATCACAGACACCACGTCCGGGTGCCTTGAGAAACAAGGCCAGCTACACATCTTGCAAAATTTGTGTGATGGAGTGCCGGAGTAAGCTCGCCCTGTAGGGTACTCAGGCATGACGCTGCATTCCTATTCAACAGGCTGGAATGATACGGCCACTTCAACCGCTGCGATGAATAATTACTTGGCAAAGGCGGATTCCAAGTTCTGAACCACATGAGCCACCCACGCGTTTCGCCTGCATGTTCTTCTACTGTAGTTACAGTCTTGCTTTGCGCCCCGGTTTCTTGCACAGCAGCTTTTGAAATCGCAGAAGTATGCAAAGGGGTCAATGCTTCCGAGAAGCCACCACTGACAATGAGATTGCCATTGAAGCATAGAACTGCTTGCGGTTGTGGCATGTCAGTGTTGGCAACCACTCTGAATTCACACCAAGCTCTCACTTCGTTTCCATCCCTGCTGCAGCCAGCCTCCTTTCCAACGCTTCCTCTCGTGCTGTAAGAGCCGCCTCGCGAGCTGCCAGCTCCTCCTTGAGCTTATCGAGGCGAGCTTCTTCGAACTGCAAGTCTGCACGCTTGGATTCCTCGAGTTGAAGAAGCGACTTCTTGGACTCCAGAGACTCCAGAGCTCAATCCGCCCCCTGAGGCCGTCGACCTCCTCCCGCCGCTCGTGCGCTTCCTTTTCAACTCGCACGTCGATGTATGCCAGCAGCGCCTTTGGACTGCTGGGAGGGATGGTTGGCTCCGAACCATCCGGGCTCCCTGGTGGCAAGTTGTCGCCCTTGACTTCGCTGGGCACAACTGCTACGACCGGCGGCACTGCCACGGGCATTCTCGTAAGTTGTAGGCACCCTGGCTGAGCTTGCGGTACTCGATGGTGATACACCTGTGTAGTGCTCGCGACAGACTTCAGAACGTTGGGAGATGGCAAGGCGAAGAACCAAGCCTGACCAGGGCTCACTGGGAACCCTCGAGACCTCATGACAACTCCTTGCGTTTGATGGCTGCCGGAAGGGCCTCTGTGGTAGCCTTGCTGCGACATGAGCCCTTCGAACAACCTCCTTCCTTGAGCCAAGACTTGAGCCGAAACCCCGTTAAGGGGTTTAGACTATGGCCCATGTGGTTTTCCTAAACCGTAAACCCCAAACCCTAAACTCTTGTGGAGTATGCCCTAGTCTCTTTGCATAAAGGGCTTACTTCAATATGGGAGGGCCATGACGTCTGAAGCCACAGTATCTCCAGATTTACTGGTGGTAAGGTGGCGTAGGGCTTGTTTTTGAAAAGGCTTAGGGTTTGGTAGGATAGGCTTCCCTTAAAAGACTTACATGGAAACATAAGCTTATAGGGAGACATAAGAAATATGTAGAAATACTGAGAAGGACCTCCTATCAGGGACCGTGGTTCACATGATTCCTTCCACTCCTTGCAGAACAACTCCTTCTCGTCCTGCTGCCAGTACTGTTAGTCCCACTTAGGTAGATAGAACATGGACTTCCCCAAAACCATAGTAAGATCACCATGGCCCCAAATGTTTTCTGCTTTCTGTGGACTGTACGTTTGTGCCGGTGTCCAGGGAAGATACAACTTGCCAATTATAGGCGTTTAAGAATGCCTCTGTGAAAGTTATACGAATGTCAAACTATGGGTTCCTTTCTGGAGTCCTTATGATAAAGATTACAGAAATTAGGAGCCTGCATTGGGGGGTCCCCCTTTGGTTTCCACCATAAGTGAAGACATGCAGCTAGAAAGCCAAGACCTACAGAAACCAACCAACAAGCAACACTGCACAAGCCCTTATCACTCCTAAAGCAGCCTCAGCTTGCGGAGGTCAAGGTGGCAAAATGATAAGAAAAACCCGAAGCCCATGGTTTTTTTTCTAAGCACCCGCACTATAGCTTCCCCACCTTAAGGTTCCCCCTGAAGTCACCGGGATTAACACTAAGTAAGACTTATCAAAGGGGGAACCTTGCGGGGAATTTAAGGGGGATGGGTACGAGAATTCATAATAAATCCTTTTTTGCATCCGGGCTCTGCTCGTTTGCCGGACTCCCAGAAGCCCCGTCACGCAGCACTCGTGTCTGCAAAACCAAACCAGTCGGAGATACTCAATGGGCACTACTTCATAGAGAACAACCAAAGTCTGACAATGTTGATGGTGAATGTCATAAAGTACCTTGTCATAGGCAACTGCGGCGGTGGTCTCGGACAACAGGATTTGAATGCACAGAGCTGGTCGTAGCATTTGAAGGTGAGCTATGAATGTGTTGACGCACTGTGCGGTGATGTCGCTGCCTAGGTTGTATTGCATAAAGCCATGCTCGGCCGATATCCGGAAGGCCTTGAAATCTCCAACTCCGGCGTGTTGCGAAGTTCTTCTTTTGACATACAAGGAGATCAGCCAAAGTACTTCATGCTTGAGGGGATCTCGCCACGCTGCCCATCTCGTAGTTACAACCAAGGAACACGGAAGCAGATCCTGTCGCATGAAATGATCCGAGTGAAGCATCCAGCAATTGCGGTTCCAGCTAACTCGACCATCATAATACATCCTGAACCCTAAACCCCGAATCCTGAACCCTGAACCCTGCACCCTTCACCCGTAATCTGGGTTGCCGTTAAGGAACTTAAATTAAGTTACTATGTTGGGGGAACCCTATTATTCACTATATATACTCATTATGGTAACTTAATTTAAGTTCCTTAACCTAAACCCCTAAACCCTAAACCCGTAAACCCTAAACCCCTAAACCCCTAAACCCCTAAACCCCTAAACCCTAAACCCTTCACCCGTAATATGCAAGCCTCTTCTTCCTTTGGGGCCGCATCGGCAACTTTGCCCAGGGCAGAGGGGTCAAACCTCGGAGGCTGAAGGCTTATCTGAGGTTGAACCACCGGCCCCTAGTATGGGCCTTTAGGATTTAGAGTTTAGGAGTTTAGGGTTTAGGGGTTTGGGAGTTTAGTGGTTTAAGGGTTCAGGGGTGTAGGGTTTGTTTTTGGGGTCCTTAGATACCTCACACACCCAACAAGCCCAATGAAGAGCCCATAGCTAGATCCCAGGAAAGAGGTATGGGCCATGTTAGGGGCCCATGGATAGGACTAAGTCAGGACCTTACAAGTTTGGGAGCCATATGCTTGAGAGATAGCCGGGGCCAGGTGTATAGGCTCAGGGCTCACGTAAGTGGTTCTTTCAAGGCCCCGAAAACTGTTTATGACTAGGTTCCCATCATACGTAGTCTAGGGGTCCCTTGAGGATCATACAACCGGGATTTATAAGCATGCATTTGTGTATCCATATCATATGTATGTATACATAAGGATGTATACGGTTTAGGGCTTGTACTCTCCCATATAGTATAACCCTCCTGTCAAAAGGGAAGAGGTCTTTGTGTGGCCCTTTTGGGGGATTCCGTGTTACTTGCGGGGAGGCTAGACTTCTAATTAGGGTTTAGGGTTTAGGGTTTAGGGTTTAGGGTTCAGGGACTTCTAGACGGACTCCGGACTCCTCAGCATTCACCTCCAAATTTTGCAGTGATTCCCTTCCTCGGGATTTTGCAAAAGTAGCTAGGACCCCCTCACCTTTTCCCAAGCATGAGCCAAAACAAGGGCTTCTAGTAGAGTCCGCTAGCACATGCCTCATGATCTTGTGCGAACCTTCGAGTCATCCCGATCACTGACGTGGAGGCTGCAACAACTTTCATAAAACGGGGGGTCCTGCGTCCACGACTAAAAGACTTCAGTCCGCCATACACACCCCTCAACAAGGGTGCCATCATTTGAGAAACCCGCATCTGAACAAGTGGACGTCATGATGGTGGACTGGAACGGCCCCCTGTTTATGTTGTACTACAGAGGATACTAAAAATCCTGCAGCACCCTAAGTCCCTTGAACCGGGGGATTTATGGCATTATAATATGCCAAAGTCATGCAGGTTTTTTGGCTGCTGGAAGACACTCCTTGGAGGTTCGGGTTTAATTGTAACCCAATGAGATTTGGGGCGGTTCCTGAAATTGGAGGGACCTGATTATAGTCCTGCATAAGTAGATAGAATATGGGGTCTATGGGGATCTTATTATAATATGCCCAGAGCCATATTCTATCTACTTAAGGGGGACTATACCCTAAACCCTACACCCTAAAGCCTAAACCCTATTCTATCTACTTAAGGGGGACTATACCCTAAACCCTACACCCTAAAGCCTAAACCATATTCTATCTACTTAAGGGGGACTATACCCAGAACCCTAAACCCTAAACCCAGAGCCTTCAAGTAGACCCACCATCCGAAGGATCTGAGGCAGCTGCTCAGGCGCGTTAGCGTTCAAGCCATTACTCCTTAGTTGGAGGTAAGGGTTTGGGGTTAAGGGTTTAGGGTTTGGGGTTAAGGGTTTAGGGTTAGGGGTTTAGGGTTTAGGGTTAGGGGTTTAGGGTTTAGGGTTAAGGGTTTGAGGGAAACTTTCACCGGCCTCCAAGTGCTAAGCACAAGGGGTTTCGGATTATAAGCATCCAAAACTGTAACCCCCCTCAAGACTTACAATCTCAATACTATCTTTAATAGTTCCTAGGGTTCTACTACAACAAAGTCGTGAAAACTTAGGAAGCAGGAGAAAACACTAGCTCAAAGTCGCGTAGGCTAACAGATGTAGAATCGGCGTTTGGGATTTCAACATGCCAGCTGTGAGCGCGGGGTCTTCGGGCCACATCTTGAGCAGAACGTGGGTCTAGTGTTCCCTACACCCTAAACCCTGAACATTAAACCCTAGACCCTAAACCCTGAACCCAAAACCCTGAACCCTAAAGCCTAAACCCTACACCCTAGCGTTTGAGTTTGGGGAGATACTGGTGCCACTAGCAAGATCTGATCCCTTGGCTTAATGTTCTGCAGTTTCTTCCTGGCAGTCCCTTGTTGACTCCCTATCCAAGGCAAGAACTCCATGGGTGTGGGGTTTAAGATTTAGGGTCTAGGGCTCAGGATTTAGGGTTTAGGGTAACTACTCTGATGCTAAAATCCTGCATGACCTTCGAATACTACCATAATTCTCAAAGCTTAAAGTACTTGAAGTAATGTAGAACCCTACACCCTAAACCTAAAACCCTAAGCCTCACTGGAGCCTTAAACCCTAAACCGTTAGTTGGGAAGGCTTCAGGCTTTAGCTTGGGGTGACACACTTGATTTGCTGAGGAAAAAGCTCGCAGCTACAGAAATACAACTTTCGTAATGTAGAAGCGCTTCTGATTAGAATATGGTCTGGGAGTACGGTATACTACAGCTCTACGAGGACAAGGAAGACTCAACCCTTACCCTAAACTCTAAACCCTAAACCCTAAACCTACCCTGAACCCAAACCCTTAAATCCTAAACCGCAACAGTGGCACTTCTTCAGGCTTCTGCATGCAAGCAACCCAAAGGTTACTTGGAGGTTCAGGGTAACTATAACCCAGCGATAACTGGTACCTATAAATAGCCCAGTTAGGAGCCCCTTAAGTGCCTTTAACATGGATATAACCGGGTTATAAGTACCAGTCATACTTAGGTTTTAAGTATCCAAAACCTCCAACTACGCTACAATGAATCTTGCATCACCCAAGTTACCTACTGGGCTGCTGTTAAGGAACTCGATTTAAGTTGCTATATTGGGGAAACTATGTCAACTACTATATATGCCCATTATGGTAACTTAATTTAAATGTTAAGCATCCTAGGTTATGGTGCCATAATATATGAAGGTCATGCAAGGTTTTTAGTATCAACAATAGACAGTCGAAGCAAACATGGGACCTCTCTGTCTGAGATATCCCCAGGAACCTAGGATTTAAAAAAAAAAAAAAACTTA